TAAAAAAACAACTAACAATTATATAACTGTAACTTGGTGTTTGCTGGGTTCTAATGACTTGTTGCTTTTTTACTTTTTTTTCTATAATAATTTTGTGCACAACGTCTTTTCTGTTTTAAGAATCTGTAAAAATTAAATAAAAATAGTCGATATAATCGAACCGTGTTTTTGATTCATAAATATCACATTTATCTTGATAAAATTGCCTATATAAGTTTATCGTGAGCTATTTCAATCGGACCGATTGATATACAAAAATTGTTTATTCTTTCGTCTTTAATCATATCTTAAATGTTATTAACAAAAGGAAGTTCACCGAATAAACTGTATAATTATAGACTTTGTTTTGCATCGAAAGTACCGGACGATGAAAATAGACCTTGCTTTGCGCGAAAACTTGCCAACTCATGTGGAACTGTATAATTATAGACCTAGTTTTGCATCCGAAGCACTATTTTTATAATTTTTACGCGTGGGCACGAGATGTGTCCGATTGCAAACGTGTGTTCATTTTTTACTGTGTCCGATTTTCAATGTGTCTGATTGTCACTGTGTCCGATTCCAACCATCGTGTGTCCATTTTTTATTGTGTCCGATTGGACCTGTGTCCGTTTCATTCAACCGGCTGTGTTTGATTTATTCTGTGCGCAACTGGGACTTCCCCTTGAATATGAGAGTGAGGGTGCCGTCACATACAGCCCGTAATCCGTAATCCGCACCGGAAGTCCGCAAAAGTTACTAGGTATTTCGTCCGTAACGTTACGTATTTTTTATCTCCTTGTGTCCCGTGGAGCCGTAAATACAGATGTAACGGTAGTACTATTTTTTATTTAACAGATTATAATTGTTTATTTGTGTTTTATTCATAAGAAACTACAGAATATATTATGATTTTAACAAAAATTTTTAATTTAAAATCGTCAAATTTAGTTAAATAAATAAAATTAAAAAAAGCATTACTAGTAATAACTAGTAACTTTTAGTAACTTTTACGGAAATTTCATGGAATTACGGCTCCATGGGACACAAGGAGATAAAACACACGTAACGTTACGAACGCAATCCCTAGTAACTTTTGCGGACTTTCGGTGCGGATTACGGATTACGGGTTCTATGTGACGCCGCCTTACGGCTCCATGGGACACAAGGAGATAAAAACACACGTAACGTTACAGACGAAATATCTAGTAACTTTTGCGGACTTCCGGTGCGGATTACGGATTACGGGCTGTATGTGACGGCACCCTGAAAAATAAAGTAGATTTGGATC